GGTTTAAGGTCTGACAGCTGAGTGATAGAGTCTCCTTGGTGACTGCAGGACAGGGTGTGGCTGGGCGTTTGTGACATCACAGATTTGCAATTCTGTTTGGGACACCTAGGAAACCTGCTCTGCCTCAACGTTTAACTTAATCATAGTTTTTCTTGTAGCTTTGCCAGGCTGACCTCACCTTCAGATTGTAAAATTAATCAAATATTTCTCTACCCTAAGTCTGACTCCTGCTGTTATGCCAATTCATATCCAATTTCATTTAATTTTCTCTCTTCATTTTGACAACATGATCTGATATAATTAAAGGTCAAGGAACCACACTCAGTGCTGAGTAACAGATCAACAATCTGACACTTAGGAGATTTTATCTCACACTTCTTGGGCAGCACAATAAAAAATGTTATTTTGCAGCAAAGTGATACATTTTGCTGTTATGTTTTGCCATAATATTAGAGTTTTTTGGTGAAAAACAATCAGAAATTTTAAGAGAGAAAAATGTTCCATAGAGAAAATAGAATGTGTACAAATATGTTAAAATATAGAAAGCAGGGGAAGTGGCACATCAGAAGTTGCACACTTTGTAATCTCACTACTGGTCTGGAGGACATGTAGAATTTTCAGGAAATTCAAGCTCTGTGTGTCTGAACACATGGGCCTATCATAGGGGTTTGGAGATGTGAATAAAAGGCATACTGGGATAGCAATAATCAATAGCTTAAATGTATTTCCTGACATTCTCATAATTGTCCCATCTACTGTGTCTTCTATGGTGATGAAGTTTCATTGTTTGATATCATCCAATTTCTATTGTTGTTTTGCTGTCTATGTCTTTGCAGTTACCTCCAAAATAGTTTTCTTTTATGGATGCCTTAAGGTTTGCCCCCTACTTAGCAAAATAAATCACTTATATTGTTGTTTTTAAGTGTCTCCCTGTGCTTTTTTTTAAAATATAAGTAGTTCCATAGTTTTGGGATTTACATCTACAGCCCTTTGATGCATTTTGGGTTTTTGACTAGCATCAGGGTTCAGTGTCCTCCATACTGGTATCTAGCAGGTTACTAAAGGTAGTTTTTTGTTTTTTATTTGTTTGTTTTTTCTCAGTTCACATTCTGTGGATCTTTGTTGGGAATAAAGTAAATACGCATGTATTGATTGATTAGTGGGATTTCTATCTAAACCATTGATGTATGTCTCTGATTTTATGTTGCTTTTATTAAAATATTTTGCAAATGTCTTGAAATCAGTTATTTTGATGCTTTCAGATATTATTTTCATTAAAATTGTTTTGGCTACTGGGGTATTTTGACATTCTGTCCTTTCCTAAAAAGTTTAGTGTATTTTTCTTTTGGAGTTCTGCAAAGAGGATCATTGGTATTCTGATGGGGAGTTAGTGAATCTAACGAATTAAGAAAACAACCTATTTGAAACTTCTTCCTTTGAAAATCCATGTTATACATTTTGTGTATACAAGTACTTATGATTTTTTTGTGGTTTGATTTTGTATCCTGATGCAGTCATCGGACTCATACATTTAATCTAAGAATTTTCGGTAGAGTCATTAGGGTTTTTATTAATGAATAGTATCACGTCGCTTTAAAACAGGAGTAATTTTACTGTTTCCTTCCATGTTTGTAATCTATTTGCATTTTTCTCTTGCCTATGTCTCTGACTAAAACTACTGTGTTGAATAATCAAAAGAAAGAAAGTGCATTCTGTCAGCTTCCATAATTAAGTGGGAATCATTTCAGCTTTTTCCCTATTCAGCACAATGTTTGCTAAAGTTTTATCATAGGATTTTTCAGCTTTCATTATGAGGATTTTCAGCAGGAATGGGTGATGGATTTCATCATGTTTCTTTTCTACAACTATTGGGATGATAATCTAATTATTAGTATTCATTTTGTTGATGTTTTATATTTACTGACTATGGATGCTTTTTAAAATTTATTTTATTTTTGTTATTTAGTTGGAAATGCAGATTTACACAGAAATGATACAGAAAAATCTCCCAAGCCCTGTTTCACTCCCTTAAGTGGCCAAAAATGCTGGAAGCTAAGTCAGTCTGAAAACAGCAGCCAGGAGCCTCTTCTGGGACTCCCAAGGTTTTGGGTCATCCTCTACTGCTTTTCAAGGCCCCAAGCAGGGATTGGAAGTGGAACAGTCAGGACATGAAATGGTGCACTTAAAGGATGCTGCCAGGCAAGGGCAAAGTCACTGAGCCTTCATGCCTGGCCCATTGAGTGTGTATCTTGAATCACCCTGGATCATTTGGAATAACCCCACTTAACCATGGTGGACAATCCTTCTGTTGCACTCTTAGAGTTGATCTCCTGAGAAACTACAAAACTATACTAAAAATATTTGTGTTTGTGCCCATCAGACATGTTTTTTTTTTCCTCTATGTTTAAACTGTCTCTCGTATCTCCTTTAAGGCTTATGTGGCAGTGATAAATTTCTTTGTGCTTACGTTGGAAATCATCCATTTCTTCTATGATTTTATGAACTTTGCTTCACTGGGTACAGTGTTGGTGGTTTTTTTTTTCTGTTTCTGAATTTACAATGAATGTCCGTTACTCTTAACTGTCTAATGTGTGCTGAAAAATACACAGCTATGCTAACAAGAGCTCTTCAATTGTGATTTGGTGTTTTTCTATTGAAAATTTTGGAGTTCTCTATGTGTTTTTAAAATACTGGAGTACAATGTGTGGACTTGAGCATTTCTTCTGGTTATTTAATACAGGTCCCTTACGGATGCTAATATTTTTCTTCAGTTTTCAAATATTTGAACTCAAGTTTTCTATTCCACCGTCTTAACTTCTGTGGGAGGAAACCCTGAATGCTTGTCAGTGTAAAACCAAAGCTAATTGCGATCCTATGGGAGGTCCCCAGGAGCAGTGAATACAGGAATGAATAGGCAGGAAATGCCCTAATCCATAGGTTAACAGACCTAGGGGAAAAAAGCTGTTAGAGGAACAAGTTGTGTATTGCTGTATTGTCTCTTGCAGTTGAAATGTAAATGGCTCAAGCCCCCTTGCCTGATGCATATGTGACAACATTTTATAAAAATCTGATAATGCTAATAATTTCAGCTATTGACCATCCATCAATAGTCCCTGCATGTTATTATCGGCATTGTCCACCAAATCCATCACTGCAAGACAGCGAACAGACTTCTGTCTTCTACTTCAAGGATGCAAAACAACTGCAGATTTCTCCATTTTATGGTGTCCTCAAAAATCTGGAATCTGTCTTTATTCTTTTGTTTGTGTGAATGGAATACTTCACATTCAAAGTCATGTATTTTTTTCTTCTACTTGGTCCGATCCGTTGTTTAAGCTTTAAAATGTGTCTTGTAATTCATTTAATGAGATTTTCCAGTATTTTTTCATGTTTTTTCAAGATCTCTCCATCTCATTAATTTATTATTCATATTAGGCATTGTTTCCCAGGATTTTCTACAAATTAATGCTCATAATCTTCGATCATCCTTGTAATCATTCTTTCAGAGATCCAAGTTCTGGACTCAGATGTTCACAGAACTCCAAATTTCCCTAGAAGAACAGGGGCCATGGTGATGGTGATGGTTCTCAGAGCTTGCTAGATGCACAACCTTTCAGCTACCAAATGAAGAACTGATGTCATGAGAGCAGTGCTAATATGGACAACAGTACAGGTGGACAAACCTAAGACACTACAGATTAAGAAGCTGCCACCATTGCAGCAGAATTACTGTTTGGAATGAGCCAGGCATTTTAATTGAACACATTTGGTAGGAAATCTGGAAGGGAGTCATAGAAGGCCTACTCATGAGTCCCAGTGCGCCTGGGCCATAACAACAAGGAAAAAATGACGTGTTAAGGAAGAGAAAAAGGGTCCAAATTTCTGGCCTTACTGGGCTCCTAGTGACCACTGTGGATTCCTCTTGAACCTAGGGTTGCCAATGCATGTTGTTTATGCATAGGTGCTTGGTTGAGGTTCTCTTCACCTAATCGCCTGAAATTTGGATGCCCCACACAATAGATCTGGGTTGCAGTTTGACTTGGCTTTTGTTCTATCTTCAAACTACCATCCCAGAACGTCATAATTTGCATGGTTTCCCATATTCCTTTGTTGGGTTCTAGTTTTCTTTCTTGAGTGTATCCTCCAAAATCTAAATTTCTAGTTGATATTTTGTTTATTCACTGTGGAAGAATAGGTGAATTTGAGGCACATTTATTTAACAATCTTGCACACCTTCTCATAATATTTAGAAACAATGATCAACAATTTTAAGGGTGGGTCTTGACTAGAGTTTGTTAATCTCTTCCCCTGAAGAAACTGAAGCCAGGGGAATTGGGGAGATACAGAACTAAGGTAAACTATCATCATAACACACTTAAGGTACAGACTGTCTACATGACTTAGATTCTAGCTTTGCCTTGATCGTAGAGCTAAAGCATTAATTTTGCATATTTCCCTATTTTCCATGCATAGTTTCTCTTAAGAAGTAAAGAATTTTGCTGTTTCTCTTAGAGGATGGATTTTCAAATGGATAATTTGTTCTACAAAACAAAATGACCCTTTCAACCCACTGCTTCATCTAGTCAATAATCTGTCGTGATAGATACATGAAAATTTATTTCATAATTTGATTAATAAATTCTAAAATTATATGCATACATATAATATGCATATATATAGTTAACAAATATCATGCAATTAATATATACAGACTTAAGATTTAGTTACTTTGTGAAGTACAGAGATCTAAGCATTAATTATCAAAAGGAGGTTCATAAGAGCACAATCAAAAAATGCTTTTCTTTATGGTATTAGGACAATATAAGGGGCAGGAATTTCAATACATGGAGAACTTTGAATTATTAGAGGCATATAGACATCAAAAGTGTTAAATTATAAAAATATTAAGATAAATTACAAATGGTATATGTTTATACTACATTAAAATCTTATAATTTTATTAATAACTGGATACAAAAATTACATTTTAAGACCAGTCATTATTTTAAGATTGTTGCCATATCAATCACGTTCTGCATAAGATGAATTATTCTTTTATCAGAACTAATAAGCACCAAAGGACTGACAGTGGCATAGACATTTCCCACCAGTCTCTGGATATCCACGACCACAGGTTCATATCTCCACAGTCTGGTTGAGAAGGATGAAATGATGATATCCAAACAGTACATAATCACAAAGAAACTCACCAGCACTAGGACAGTACGGGTGGCCCTTTTTATCGGAGAGATTCTTGGGGAAATGCTCATGCTGTGAAGATATGCAGACTTCCTCTGATGGCTACATAGGCAAACAACCATGTACATGCTGGAGAGCAGCATGAGCCCTACAAATAAGCCACTCTGGGACAATCCCAGTGTGAGAACTAGTGCCATGATGATGGAGTTCATTGAGGAAAGTGAGCAGTATTTACTGACATTGAGTAGATTGGTCCTGTTGGAATGAGCCACAGTGTAGATGATCACATAGCTATTGGTATACAGATTGAGGGACCAAAAAGAGAAGAAAGCAAAAACAATATAACTTGTGAGTTTATGTTTAAATCTTGACAAGCAGAAGGAGGCTGGACTGATGGTGATGACCTGAATGATGCTCAGGAGACAGGTGGTGGAGATGGACAGACCCCTCGTCACCCTACTCAGGTAGAACAAAAGCTTACACTTCAATTCATTTGGAAAATTCCACAATTGGAACATGTCTTCAGATAAAATATCCAGTGTAGTAAGTAGCATCACTAAGTGGACAAAGGCCAGGTGACAGGTGGTTATATCAGTGGGCCTAAGCCTATGGACCTGTTGGATTGTGAAGCTGTGGAAGATGAGGAAGAAGGCATTGGCTAAGATTCCAATGCCAGCTTGAATAAAATACACATTTTTTAATAATAACATAATTGGATATTTTTGTAAATATCAGCATACCAGAAAACTTTTACATACCTATAAAACAAAAGACATACCTTATATTATATATGATCTTTTCTTCTTTATGAAAACCACCACAAATCATCATTTTTATTTTACCCACTTATTATAATGAATTCTGAATATTTAGGAACTTCTGAATTTAAAATTTCTCCACTACTTTTCTATAGCAAATGTTTTTATCATTATATTAATGTTTAATCTCTTTTTTGTGCTTCTAGTTTGTCATATCAAAAGCTCAACAACAAAATGATCTTACTTTTCTTTTTCTATCTAAAATTTTTTATGTACTCTGAACACACACATATTAATTTTAAATAAGTCACACTCAGGAATGAATTTCAAAAGAATAGCATTCCTCGGGCCCGGCGCAGTGGCGCAAGTGGTTAAAGGTCCTCGCCTTGCACGCCCGGGATCCCATATGGGCGCCGGTTCTAATCCCAGCGGCCCCGCTTCCCATCCAGCTCCCTGCCTGTGGCCTGGGAAAGCAGTTGAGGACAGCCCAAAGCTTTGGGACCCTGCACCCGCGTGGGAGACCCGGAAGAGGCTCCTGGCTTTGGATCGGCATAGTATCGACCCGTTGCGCTCACTTGGGGAGTGAATCATCGGACGGAAGATCTTCCTCTCTGTCTCTCCTCTCTGTATATCCGCCTTTCCAATGAAAAAATAATAAAAATAAATCTTTAAAAAAAAAAGAATAGCATTCCTCTACAACCACATGACATGCATGAATAAGCAAAGGATACATTGCATATTTGATTGAATGGTTAGTCAACTTTCTTAAAGGATTATCTGGTAAAGCAAAACGTCTTGCGTCTCAGAACTGATAACTGATTGCTCCATAAACATATATGTTCACCCTCATCACATATGGATTCAGGATAAATTTAACAAAGTGATTAACTATTTCCATATCTGAAGGATCGTATTGCATTTCAATAATATATTTAAGCATGACACACATCTGTGCAATTGTTTTTCTTACTTATATATAGGCTTGTATTGGCCTAATTCATGCATTATTAGCTGTGTAGTAAAATAATACAATCACAAAAGAATACTGGATAAGAATTTCAGTACTTTATTCTTCTACCACTGAAATATTGGGAGGATTACCCCTAATTCATGTCCCTCATTCTTTAATTGTTCACCATACCTGAAACAGATTTGCTCCTACACATTAGCAAATGTCCTCATTTTCCCATGAGACTGAACTTCACGTACAACTGAGTGAGAAAAACAACCCTGGTAACTGAGTGAACATTGACAAGTGATGTAAAATTTTTACATGACTTTTCCTGAAACACGCCTTATCCTCATCTAATTGCTGTCTACGTATGTCATATGGGTAACCCTCAAACTTTCATTTATTATTTATTTGAACTTCAAAGCTAATTTTTTTATCCTATATTTTGATGTGAGTAAGCTGGTGATGGCATAATAGAACTATTAGTGAATTCTTAATAAACTCTTATTTATCTGAAAGAAATGACAGTAAAAGTTTGGGCATGGTGACCTATGTTAATCACATTGTAAATAGGAATTTTGTTCTTCCATGAACATACACTTTCAAAAATCTGAATATACAACTCAGTCCTCAATGCATGAAGTAACAAGCTGGGGTGTCTAGGGCTGAGGTGAAGTCACAGTGAACAATCAGGAAATAGAATGTGCAGACAATTTACACCCTCCTTATTCTGGTTTTCATGATAAACTCCAAAGTGTTTATGTAATCACAGGTCTTGGTGAAGAAAATACCAAAATTTAGTGGGCCAGGAAGCAAAAAATCAGTGATGAACTCTCTGGGCTTGCATTAGACATGTGCGTGTAACAGAATAAATGTAACAATAGTAAGTAACCGTCTGTAACAATTTAAGGGGCAGTTTGTATGTAAGTACATTTTAAACATGATTTTTCAAAAGGAAAAAAATAAGGCAGGAGAGAGTGCTTAACTATTAGGTGTGCTTAACTATTATAGAGTGCCTGGTGCTGTGGCCTCGCAGCGAAAGTCCTCAACTTGATTTGAACGCACCACGATCCCATATGGGCTCTGGTTCTAATCCCGGTTGCCTCACTTTCCAACCAGATCCCTGCTTGTGGCCTGGGAAAGCAGTCAAGGAAGGCCCAAAGCCTTGGGACCCTGCATGCACTTTCTCCAGGGAGACTTGGAGAAAGTTCTTGGCTCTTGGCTTCAGATTGGTGAAGCACTGGCTGCTGCATTCACTTGGGGAGTGAATCATCAGCTAGAAGATCTTACTGTCTCTTCTCCTCTCTGTATATCTGACTTTGTAATAAAAACAAATAAATCTTCAAAAAAAAAAAAAAAACGCAGGAGAGACAAGAGAGACAGAGAAAAGAGACACACGTGGACAAAATCTTCCACCTAATAGTTAAGTCTCCCAAATGTCCACTTAAGTGGTGGCACCAGCATTAATTTCATCATAAGCTTTGCCATATTTCTTGAGATACATAATATTCACCAAATTATATTGCACTAGGATCCCATAAAGGTGCCAGTTTGTGTCCCGGCTCCCCTGCTTCCCTCCCAGCTCCCTGCTTGTGTCCTAGGAAAGCATTCATGGATGGCTCAAAGCCTTGGGACCCTGCAGCTGCATGGGAGACCCAGAAGAGGCTATGGGTTCCAGGTTCCTGTCTTTGGACTTGCTCACCTCTGGCCATTGCAGCCACATGGGAAGTGAACCAGTGGATAGAAGAGTTTCTGCTCTTTCTCTCCACCTCTCTGTATATCTGACTTTCCAATAAAAACAAATAATTCTTTAAAAAAGTTCTGATGAAGAGATGCATGGCACTAGTTTGAAAGTGTTGATGGATTTTAATCAACTGGCAGAATCGTCAGATACACATCTTTTTCACTATGATTAGAACCACACAAGGATTTCTTTAATAAAATTTACAAATTCAAGAGCAAAAAAGAAGTGAGCATCCATTAGAAACAAATTACTTTAATGTGTCACTTATTCTTTCAATAAAACAAAGTTTCATAATCTCAAAATTTAATTGCCAAGTCCTTTGGGAAAAATATGAACTAAGACAATTACCATTAGAGATGGAGGAGATAAAAACTACAGCAGGACAAACATAAACTGTGGATCTGAGGAAACCCAAACACTCTCTCAGAGATGCTCTCAAATCGCATTTTAAATGCATTATAATCAAATAAGCACCAGGAGGGATAAAACCATGTTTCAAGGGCTAATCACCTGTGCATTGCCCCAAGAATGATGTGACAGCCCTAGCAATCCTACCAAATATTGAGTTCATGGAAAATTTCATAGAACAAAACACTATGTTCCCTATTTTCTAGTGAAACCCCTGTGTCCACGGTGCCTGAATTCCACCCCCCTTAAGCCATGAATGCAGGAATGTTAAAATCAATATTTTAAAACCTTGTATTTGGTAATATTTTTAAAACATCAATAGATGCTATGCCGATGCAGCCAAAATGTGTACTCCCTGTCAGTTTGCTATTGCTATCCATAACAATATCATGTTTGCTTCCTATTTCTATTCCATTTCAAATATTCTTAAGCACTAGAATTCCACTGTGACTCAAATTAGACAATACACTTTGGAAAGTTGTGAAATTCTTGCTGCTAAATTTAAATTGAACAGAAAATTGAGTAACATAAATAATTTAAAGATGAAATGCAAATTGAATCATGTGTAGGAAATGAAGACTATTGATGTGATCACTTCCCATCATGTGTATAATTCTCATCATGTGTTATAAATTATTTCTCTCACTTCTGCAAAATTTCAACATTCAAATCAGCACTACAAGTTTATTCATTTTAATTTTGCTACTTTAATATTGTATGACACATTTTCAAAGGGTCAGGATTTCCTTTCTCCTTTTCTCAAATCCCCCCCACAAGTCCTCCATATCATTCTGATATTTAAGTTCATCCTGATATTGCGGGTCTTGACAATGGCAGAGTTTATCATTCCATTGTCAAGATATATTTAGCAGGTTCATTGAGAGCCTAAGGTTTGGAAGGAGAGATAAATACTGTATTCCCTCTTCATATTTGGTTATGATAGTCCCTATTGCACTGTCACTATACATCACCTTAAATGAAACCTATAAAACAAAGTCAACAATAGGAACAAAACTAGGAAATGTACCACACAAACTCAAATAGCATGCTGTTGATCAATGTGTCACTGAAAAAATGAAAAAGAAAATCAAAACCTTTTTGAGGAAAACAACACTACAGTATGTCCTATGAGTAGGTGAGGAATTTAATAAGAAAATAAAAAGCATTTTTAAGAAATAAAAATAAAAATATCAAAGCCCGTGAGAAGTAGCAAAAACTGTTTAAAAGGCTGTTGATTCTATATTGAACATGAAGATTGTCTTATTGCAGAGAGAACATATGATATTTGCCCTTATGGAATTGGCTTAATTCACTCAACATAATGTTAATTTAAAAAACTAAATATTAAAATTAAATCTATTTAAAGAAAGCATTTGAGGGGCTAATGTGATGACTTAACTGCCTAAGCCTCTACCCTCAAGTGCAGACATCACATATTAATGCCAGTTCATGTCACAGCTGCTTTACTTCCCACCCAGCTCCATGCTTATGACCTGGGAAAGCAGCATAACAAGGACCAAAGCCTTGGGACACTACTACCACTTGGGAGACCCATAAGTAGCTGCAGACTCCTGGCTTGTAGCTTTGGATCATCTCAGCTCCAGACATTGTACCCATTCAGGGATTGATTCAGGAGATGTAATATCTCTCTTTTTCTCCTTCTATCTGTAAATACACTTTTGTTATAAAATAGGAAGTCATATAGTCTTTCAAAAATTACTTGATCTTTTGCTGCTTACTTTCATGTATGTTGTCTAAACTAATTTCATAATAATAGAAGACAATATTTATAGTAATTTTATGGTAAGAAAATTATGTTATCAACAAGAAGTGAATTAGAAACATTCT